GAAAGCACATAGGTTTATTACTGGAATAAAAGCATTTTTGTGTTTGTAACAGCAATCTCACTGTTGCTGATAAATATCCCTCACTTCTGCAGCAGTCCCTGTTCTACAACCACCCTGTCATTCACACCTAGCTAAATAAGAATTTCTTTGCCCCCCATGGGCTAAATACACATTAGCTGGTGCATACCATTCTCTAAAGTAATCTCTGGGACCGCTAGAGATATGATATGCTGCGTGCAGGAGGCTCTCACCATGGTGGATATGTGGTGATAACAGCTCTTGAGAGATACAGTCACAGATGGGCTGGCTACTGATAGACCTGCCTTAATGTTTCTTGTTCCTTTCTGCCCCTTCAAGTATTAAAATGACAACAGGCCTTTTGGGGTTTTGAGCTCAGGCCCCTACAGTTACAGGCAACCATAAATCTCTCAAATTATGACTTAAGTCTCTCTTGGAAGTTATTAGGTTTTCTGTGTCCGTTACTCAAACTGGAGCCTGTTATATTTCCTGAGGCTTCTGATCTTCTGCACATATATTCATGTTTGGCTTAGACTATTTGTGCTTTTGCCAACTCTGGCATTTAGCTTAATTAGCTCTTGTCCCTCCATGAGATTTTTCTCTCGTGTGTTTATACAGAAATTATATTCTGTAAACTTGGGACAGTGCTGAGTTTCCTGCAATTGTATAGCATAAATTTCAGTGGAGAATAAAACTTGTTCAGAGAAACAGGCAGTTTCTGCCAGGCTGTGACTTGTCTGTCTCCTTGGCAGTGTCTGGCCAGAGCTCCCAGGGTGACAGGGGCCAATTCTGTAAAGCTTTGGAGTTCTCCTGGAGTTCTCACTTGGCTTCCTTGCTTCCAAAAAGAAAAAAAGTATATATATATATATGCATACACACACCTCCTAGGCTTGGGTGTGAAGGCCAAACTTAGTTACCTCTCTTCTGAGAATAATGAGTTTTCTGCAGAGGCAAGTTGTTATGTTGCACGTTTATTTATCTGTCTTCCTCAGCTTCCTGTTGCCTTAGGTCCCGACTTCCAGCTCATCCTGGCTGCTAGCGCTGATGTGTTGAAGCACTGAAGGAAAAATGTTAGGAAAATGTGTAGCTTTCAAATGCATCAAGCCAAACCCACTTATTTTCAAGAGCCCATGGGTTATACAAGCCAAGTAAGCTCTGGTAAGCTTAGCTCTGTTGTACAAGCAGCACTTGGAAAAACAGTAATTTTGCCTTGTAAATCGAGGACATTACTCAGCTGCTGCATGTTAGAAGAAGCCTCATTGACTTGGGTGGAACAAGTGAGTGGGGTTTTGCTGTTCAGCTTCTCATCTGGCTGTGGAGCTTAATCCAGCCTCTCCCTCATTACATCCCATATGTATGCGCTGAGTAAAAACACACAGATCTAAGCTGTGATTATGGTACCTCATAATATGGTACCACTTAATGTTTGGAGCACAGCGTTACAATTACAATTCCCTTCTTGTACTTTGGAGAAGACCCTGGGGAGGGAAGGGGGAGCGGAACTCTGCGTGGAGAAAACAACGTAATGTGTGAACACGGTTTTTCCTTTTATGACTTGATTATATTCTAGAAAAATCTAAAATTTTAATTAAATGAATTAAGAAGTATAACTGCCCAAGTAAGTTTTGAGACATTTTAGAAGAAAAATGTCCGGGGTGATTGTTGGACCTAAAACACTCGGGAGTTGCGAGTGGCTTATTCATGGAAAAAACTCCTATTTCAAGCCTCCTTTTTGTTTCTTTTATTGCCAAACCATAGAAGCTTTGATGCATGAATTACATAAAACATAATTTCAGACTTCTATTTATAACAAGGATGGGAAAACTTTCATGAAAAGGAAGTTTTTCATGTAGCTTTATTTGAACGTAAGCTTTAAGAAACAAAATCATGACAGATATCCCAAGACTCACAAATGTTACTCTGCAACATACGTGATGGGTTTTCCCCAGGAACCCGTCAGTGTAGTATTTCTATCCATTTCCATGCATTAGTCAGTCTGGGTTAGTCAATTTGGTCCTTTAAGTCTTATTTGACACTTAAAGGCGCTGAAATTTTCTCTGAGATTTTGAAATTTGGCTGTAGAGCTGTAACAAATACTGTCCTCTCGGCCAGCACCTTCTGTATACACCAGGAATCAGAATTTGCCATTTTTTTTAGAAAGAGGGTCTTGCACGAAGTTGTATCAGGGGATCTCACAAGCTTGGCCGAGTCCACCCACACACGGAAAAGGGTTTTCATCCTTTTCATACTGAGCCTAGGAACTACTGTTTTCGCTTTGTAACTGGTAGGGTTCCAATGACTAAAGATTTCTTATCAGGGTGAAACGAGGCTTTGCACTATATAGATGATACACATTTTTTTTTTGTCTTTAATCTGGTTATTGCTAGTTTCTTTTAGCTCTTTATCCAGTGAAATCAGGGGCCAGTTTTTCAAGTACTCAGACATGTCCTAACGGAGGTATCATGTTGTTTGCTTACCAAGGAACCTAGAAGGGTCTCAGTTGCACTGCTTAATTCTGGCTAGGTTTTCAGCCACAAACTATGGTAGGAGAAAAGTAAATATCATGTAAATCTGAACACAGGTTAAGTGTATCATTGAAACAGAATTCATGCAGGAGTCTCCTCCAAAGTGTTGGGAGGAGAATGTGATCCAGGCAAGTGAGACATAGGAAGCATGACACACTTAGCAAAAACAGCTCTGTGAAAATAATGTTTATTAGGGAGCAATATTGAACCATGTCTGCCAGGAAAGGTTTGGTTGAGAGCCTGTCAGGGCAGGTGGTGTCTTGCATCTGCCTAAAAACAAAGTAGGAGGTGGAAGGTGCTAGCAGAAATTGCTGTGCTGAATGACAATATCATAGAAGTTTAGTAAAAGGGCTCCTTGCTCCGTGTGGACACTCAGATGTTACTCAGCTGGGGAGGACTGAAGTTCTGCTTCCATTATTTTGATTAATTGAACACTGTGAGACATGGATGAAGCCTGCGGCTTGTTTTGTGAATGCTGTCCAGGCATTTCCTTAGATCTTCAGTTTAATCTGTGAGACAATATAACACCCCTCTCCTTTCAAAAACAAAGAAAAAGACATCATAAGATGTCAGTCCTACAACAGCTTTCCTACAGACTTGATTTACCTGAGGCAAGAAACTTGCCTGACCGCCAAGACAAAAACATTGACAATTCCAGTTTAGAGGTGTCTGGTTTTGTGCTTTTGGTGCTTGTTGGCAGACATGCACCTGCCAATCAGTCCACATGCAGAAGCAGATTGGTGTTTGAGGTTTTAGGAAGAGTGTTTCCACACATGCCAGTCCAAGCTGACATCCCCATTCAGAAATTTGTTCTTTATTATTATTTTTTTTTAATAAGAGAGCATTAACCTGACTAGAGATGCCTTCTCCACCCATAACAAATGCTGTTATCTTTAGAGAAGGAAATTTCCCTTTGAGCAGTGGCAGTGCCAATATGTTGTTTTAATCTCCTAGTTGAGCTGTTTCCAGATTTTTGTGGCTGGAGCAGTGAGCTAGTGTATGCAAAGTAGTTGCAAGACTAGTAGGTGAAGACTAGTTGCATAAATGATGCCCATGTGATCCCTGCTGTGGAGGGAGCCTGTCTGCTGGTGGCCTTGTTGGACCAGAAGGACCTAAAGTGGACACTCAAACCTAAAAGGTTGTGGTGAGACCCATGCAATGAAGAGAAGTGACCAAAAGGATGGTCTGCCTCCCAGCAGGAGATCTTGTTTTGCAATAAATAAATAGTTTTTGTTGTCCTGCAGAAAGAGGCATTGCCCTAGTTGAGGACACACTCCCTAAGTCTCGGACTGGAACATGTAAATTCCCCTAACACATTCCTGGCCTCCTCCCGTCTCGCTGCCAGAACATGTTGCATTTGGCAGAACTCTGCCAGCTTCCTTAGGATTTTTCCTCCAGGGCTCATGATGCCTTTGTGATCTCCTGGAAGGGGAAAGGAGCCTTTGAAGCCTTGGAGTGGGAAGACAGGTGTGGAGGGCAAGGCATGCAATTTGGTAGGAGTGGAGTTGGGTCCAACAGTTCAATGGCTTGTACTCGTGGGATGATTCTTTTGCTCTGTTTAGTTGGTGACTAGTCAAAGATGGCACCCTAGAAATGTGCAAATTATAAGGAAATCAGGCAAGCTTTTTTTTTTTATCTATGTTTAAAGTAAATAAAACTCAATTTCAAGACCTTGTGAAGAGAGCTCAGAAATATGGTCCAAGTCTACACCACAGGTGGAAATGTTGGGTTCCTTTGCTCCATCTGCCTCTTAGTTTTAAAAATCTTCCCAAGAAACAGTGAGATATTGGGCTTTTCTTTTTGATAACCATAGTTATAGATAACCATCTATAACCATCTGATAACATATAGATAACCATAGTTTATAGTTTGATAACTATAGACATAGAAATTTAATGTGTTCCTTGAGTATAATCTCAGTGCCTGTTAATAGACATTTTTAACTTCATGTGGTTGTATGGTTCATGTTCTTCATTTTCTTCCCTTCCTCCTCCAAACTCTTCTGCTGACTTAAAGGAAAATCTAAGATGCAGTTATCATTTATTTTTAAATTTTGCACTTGAATGACACTTGATTCTATCTTTCAGGGTGTGAGTCACTATATTGGGTAGGAATATATTTTCCTGCCTACTTTGTTCAAGAAGCCTGTAAAGCAGGTTTGACCTGAAGTGACCATTTGAACTTCATAAAGTAGTTTAATCTCAGGGAAAAACTTGTTTCTTTTAATTTACAAAGTTGCATACATAATCTGCTTCCTTGATCCCTGATACTAGAGCTTGTTCTTCTTTGTCTCCTTTTCTTTTAGGGGATGTTTTGGCTGCTTCTAAACACTGGATATGCTGGGTCAGTGAACTGTTACTCCAGGAAGCAGAGCTGAGAGGATGAGCTCAGAAGACATCATGGAAGCAGGCAGGAATGACACACAGCAGAAGCCTCTTATGTAAAGAAGCATGCACATATTCTACCACAAGAAAGCCAAATTTGGGGTTCTTTATACTGCTGACTGCAACCTTGTACAGGTTTCTCAGAGCTTGCTGAAAAAGACTTTGGTTCTTTTATACCTTTAAAAGAGACTACAAGACTCTCCTCAGCAGGATTTAAGATTTTCCTGGACACTTCTCCCCTTGCCCCCACAAGATGATCGACCTAAGCTTCCTAACGGAGGAGGAGCAAGAGGCAATAATGAAGGTGCTTCAACGGGATGCAGAGCTCAAAAGAGCTGAAGAAGAGAGAGTCAGGTAAGGCACCGAGGAGCCTCAGCTGTTCAGGGAATGTGTACACAGATGGTATAGCGAGTTGTTCATATCATAGGAGTAATTAAAACAGTTGTTCCTGGGGCCTCCATATCCCACAGTACATAATGGGTTGGAGTTTTTTACCCTGGCTGTATTCAGGGTAGGTCCTGGATGAATGTTCATACTATGCTAATGGTTCAGTACTATCCAAAAGGCTAGTTGCTGATTTGCATCCTTACAACTCCATAAGGACCCATGTGAACAGATGCTGGGTGCATCTGAACAGAACTTCTGGCTACATTTCCTCAGAAAAGGGTTTAGTCTGCAAGCATCCAAACCTCTGAAACTGAACCAGAGTTTTGGTAAGTGAAGGATTTCTTTTAAATTTCTTTCTTTAGGGATTTCTTTTTAGAGAGAGGACTAATGCCTCAGATCAAAATGTCAGTGTAAGTGCAGCCAGTGATATGGCTGAGTGAAGAAGCTGTCTGAAGTGTGAGGAGCACTGGAGCTGGAGACAGATGAGGTTCTGGCTCCAAACACTACAGTCCATGCCAAGAGGAGACTTTGCAATCCCTGGTTAATGCAGAGTACTGATGTCTTCCCTGTGGTGTCAAAGAAGGAGCAAGTAGTTGGTTAGAAAGGTGTATATGGGGTGTTTTGTATGCTCGGAGGTTTTCCTACAGCTACTGTTAGGGTAATTGCCATTATTATAGATGTATGCATTGAAAGCAGCATGGCCCAGGTGACTTGGCTTTGGGTAAGTGACCTGCACCAGTACAAACAGCAGCTTAATTCGGTTGCAGCTAATTCAGATGGGTGATTGGTCAAGACTGAGGATTTTGGCAGTGCGTCTTTTATCTCTTGTGAAGGAAGTTATCCCAGAAAGAGAAATGGTAGAAGTATCCTTAGATGCTAAAAGGTCAAAGTTGTCTTGTCTCTCTTGTACGTACAGAAAGATGGACTTTAATTCTGGAGTAGCTTGAAGTAATGCTTGAGATGGGAGGAAAAGCAATGGAAATAGCAGTGCCAGGTCTGAAAACACTCAAGAAAAGTAATTGTAGATGTGAATTTGAAAATAGTATCTGGGGAAAGGAATACTCCCTGGCGCTGCAAATCCAACTGTTAGTAGCGGTCTGAAAAGTGCTGTGGACATGTGTTTTTGTCTGCATAATTTTGATTTTGCCATTTGTAATTCTAGTTCAAGAGGGTGTGGTGGAAAATGCAAAGGACTGCAGGTTGTGCTAGCCTATAATCAGTGTGCTGGCTTCTACCATAACATCTTTCTTCTCAAAAGTTAGTATATTCAGAAACCAGAAGTTGGAAGCATATATCTGCAACTGATTTTTTGCTATAGATATGACACGTTGAACTTGCTTTTTATATGATAGATATTTAAAAGATTATCTGAATTGTATCTCCAGTCAAAGCGATATAATTATTTAGTTTGAATATTACAGCCTTGCAGACCTGGAAGATTCCAGGAATGTCATCATCCAAACATCACACCCTGACAAGGCGTTATTTGTATGTGCACATAATGGAAGCCTTTTTAATGTGATCTTTTTCCTGCTAGAAAGAAATTCTGAGGTTTGAAGGGTGTTGAAATAATCTGTTCCATCTGTGGAATCCGTGTGCCGCGTTCCGGGAGCATGGACAGACTGGTAGCGCGACAGACCCCTCTTTGAGCAACTTCCTGGTGGAATTTTACAAATCTCCTGCTGAGATCCCTTCTCATCGCTTCCCCCGTGACCTCAGCCCAGCTTTCCCCAAAGGAAAGGGGGTATTGCCATTTTCTTCTTAAAAGCAATAGTGAGACGAAGAAATCTCAGATTACAGGAGGGTGTGATGATGCAGGGAAATGGAAAGACATTGCATTCTTTTTTTTTTTTCTTTTTTTTGGGGTGAGAAGATCCCTCTTCCTGCTTCATTTCACCCAGGAGGAATTGCCAGACCCAAATGGCAGTATTTTGAGGAAGGCGAAATAGCATAAAATAAGGAGCTGAGTAACAGCTCCTTGAGAAGCTGTTTCTCACCATATTGCTAATTCTTTTCCCCAGCATTCTTGTTCCTCTCTGGGAGTCACAGATACCCCCTGCTCCAGCTCAGGACCAAACAGGCGAATGGCCTAAGTGTGTAACCAAATTTCCTGGCAGCAGCAGCAGCCCTGAAGTCTCAGCACAGTGCAGGGCCCTTTCTGGTGATGGTAACATGGGACAGAAACACGCTCGTGTCTCAAGTTCTGCACTGTGGTTGGGAGACTCTTCTGCAGTGATTGCCCCAGCACCAGCATGCAGAAAACTGCTGTGGTTGCCCCTGTGGCTACTGGGCTTTCCCTTCCCACGCTTGGAAGAGCCTTTCGTGGGCCGTGTCCAGGAGCGTTTGCTTGTTCTGTAAGTTCAAGAAGGCAAACGATAGGGAAATGCTGCTGCAGGGTTGTTTGTGTGGTGGGTGGTGACTGCCACGGGCCAAGCCCCTTTAATATATACATTGGTGTGGCCCTGCGTATCTCAGAAAGGTGCAGGGAAAAGGGGTCTGGTTCTGCTGGGTGTTTTGTGCACTTAACCTTCTCATGATGTTCAGTAGGAGTGGGCTGTGTCCTCAGTACCTGAGCTGGCATCTGCCCAAAATTGATTTAACAGTTCATACCTCCGAGCTGCCTTTGCAGTGTCTGCGTAGTCTGATAGTTACACGCCAGTTTTGAAGGATTTTGTCTTCTTGGCCCTGCAATACCTAGAGACACCTTAAAACTCCTGCCAAAATGTTTATTTCAGAAGCTCTCTGCCTCTTTTTTTTTTCTTATAAACCTTGTAGTATAAATGCACAGTGTCATGATTAAAGTATGTGTATATATAAAAGAATGAAAAATAAGCAAGATGTACCTGAAGGTGAGACCACAGTGTCTTTGCACTTGCCTTCTCCTTCTGTCCTGACCAGTACACAGAACAACAGCTTGTGCATTTAAGTAATTTATATCTTTCTTAGGCTGTGTTCTGTCCATTCTGCTCCAGATTGAAACTTTTTGGAAAAGTCTGCTTGGGCTTTGGATCAAGGCCATCAGGTCAATAATATTGACTTCTCTAAATTTGGAGCTAAGGATGTGTTAAAATGCTGTCAGGGCATCCCCTCTAGCAACACGATTCTGAGGTTCCTCTGGGAGGACGGGTGTCATCCTTAGGTCTCTGGGTTGGTTAATTCAAATTAGCCTAGAAATAAGAAAGTGATGATAATAATAAAATTGATAGAGTTTACAGTTTTTCTGGAACTGATTATTTAAAAAATAAGCAAACAAAAAACTGAAAACAAATGCATAAAAAAACCAAACTCCCTTTGCAGCTTAATAAATTGTTTTATTTTTAGTACTCAGGCTTGGTAACAGATATGGCATTGAGCTATAGTGGAAATTAGGCTGATACCTCATCTTCCCACCATGGATCATTAACTAGTCCAGTAATAGTGGATGGATGATTTGATTTATCTTCAGAACAAATTAGTTCTGATATTGTAGCTAGCTTGAAATTCTAAAATGCAACCTCCTCTTCAAATAGCCTCAATTTCTGAGAGGTGTCCTTGCTGGCAGTGTGAAGAAGGCAGTGATGCAGGCTCTCCTGCTCATTTACAGCTCCTTGTGTACATCCTGTGCATTGCTTTTGTGCTTCATATTCCTATTTTTAATGCCTCTAGAGTGCTGGTGTCCTTGGGTTTGGCAGATCCTGTGACAGAAAGCACATTTTTCCAGCAATGTAACCTTCTCGGATTCAAGCCACCCTGTCCCGCTGCTCCAGGTGCAGTGTTGTTGTTGAGTAGTTGTTCCTTCATTGCAAAGGCTTTTGTTTTAATCCTTGGCAGGCTCGTTTTGGTTATATATGAAGAGGCTGGGGAGGCCTTTGGGAACCTCTGTGTAAATCCTTTAAAACAGGGAAATCAAATGCTGCAAGGCTACTATAGAAATGGAAACAGTTGAAATCAGTGGGAACTGTAAAGACTGGCATACCTGGACAGGTATTGACCTCCTGTGTGCTGTAACCTCAATATCCAAGCTACAGGTTTCATGAATTATGCTTCTATCAGGTAAGAAATGACCAAGTAAGCTTATGTGTTCTATGCCTGTCAGGAGAATATGTAATTACCCAATATATAACATATTACTTGTAAAACGCAGCTTATTTCTTATAGTAGAAAAGCATGCAAAAATGAATGATTTCATGTTCAGGTTGAGATATGTGTAGAATTTAAAGGAAATATGAGGATAAATATCTGTCTGCTGCAAATGTGGCAGCCTTCTATGAGAAATGTTATACAAGGAAATGATATATGGCAGGGTTAATTTGGCCAGTGGGAAAATTAATTATGGCCACTTAGCACAGAATTTGGGATTGTGGTTCAGTTGACTTACACCTACATGTGTGTAATTAAGTCGTTCTGATACTGCAAGCCTGAAATTGTCCATATGTTCCCTTTCCACTTCAGAATAAATGTTGTTGTCACTGTCTCGCTTGGCATGAGGGGTCACATTGGCTACAGCGTAGCTAGTTCTCCAAGGATACTGAGATCAATTAATTAGCAAAGCTCAAACCCCTGGATAAGGGCAAAAAGGAAGACTATACAGGACAGCAAACAGAACAGGACTGACTTCTTTTCTCATGTCCTTGGCTACTTTTACTTACTTAGAAACTCACTATCCAAAGACCCAGAGGCAGGGATGTTAGAAGGGATGTTGATGACTGGACTGATAACAGGGATGGGGAGAAACTACGTAATCCCTTTGGACTGCTTTAATTCTTCCCACTAAAACCGTGTAGTTTGAGTGACTTTAATGCTTATACCAGTCAAACAGGAAGCTTTTGAATCCCATGTATGGGACTAGATGATCTCTAGAGGTCCCTTCCAACCTCAACCATTCTGTGACTCTCTGATGTATGTGTGTAGCTACTACATAACCAACTCAACATATCCCCAATGGCCCTTCATAAATCTTTTGGGCGTAGTTCTCAAACAAGTACCAGAACATTTTTCCTACGCCTTATTTAGATATGTGCCAACTAAAGAAACATGTTCATACAGAGTTCAGTGTTTAAACAGTTACTCCTTTTGCCTTGTAAATCTTTT